ATATGATATTGAGCTTAAAGTACTAACACATATAATATAAACTCCTAAACTAAAGTCACCCAAGCTTGATCTTGATTTTTAATAAGCTTGACTTGGTAAACTTGGATGAAGCTTGAACTTGGATCTTCAACTTTGAATAGCAAGGCTTCAACCACTATTCCGTCAACCTCCATTTGATATGATCGTTATGGCGCAATCCATCCATCATCCAACTTATTATTTGTCTATAATAAATAACAAAACACAAACACTAGACAAATAATATTAGATGTAAATTGTTTGTTAAATCATCATCAAAACAAGAAAGCCAACATAGTTACCATAATGTAAGTAAAAAAAATTAAAATTGATATTTTTCTTTTCTCTATATAGTGGCACGACTCTGCAAGTATCCTTATTTGAGGATATGACTACTAACGAAAGATCAATTTTTAAGAACACGATCAAAGATAAGCATGTAATAGTACTGTCAGGATATGACTACTAACGAAAGATCAATTTTTAAGAACACGATCAAAGATAAGCATGTAATAGTACTGTCAGAGTTCAAGATCACGATCAAAGATAAGCATGTAATAGTACTGTCAGAGTTCAAGATCTTTAAATATAAAGGTAACATATTTTGCAACTAAAATTCTTATTAAAGGTCACTAAATATAAAATTTATCTTATACATGTCTCAAATTTGTATGAAAGATATGCATGTCATCGTAAATTGTGTTCACGCCTTGTGCCTTTGGATTTCACCTCTTATAAAGAACTACATGCTACCTTTTATCTTATTAGCCTCTTAAAAATATGATAATAGTATGAAAAACAATTTGTATTTAATGCAATTATAATAATATTAATAGTATAATAATTGTAATAGTGTTTTTAAATTAATTTAATAATTATACAATTTAGTAAATTATTTACTAATAGTATAATAACTAATTATTAAATTAAAATGTAGTTACTAATAGTATTATAAATATGCTATGTATAATATTATTATATTTAAAAGAGAAGAAATTATTTAATATAAGATAATTATTTTAATAAATTATAAATAAATTATAATAATTATCCAAAATTATAATAATTAATCATACAGTTCTTTATACATAGTTTTATCATATAATTTATTCATTTATACAAAATTATGATTGATCATAATTTATATTACTATGCAAGTCATTTCATTATTTTGTAGCCAACAACAAAAATTGAAAAACATAAAACAAAAGAAGTATGCTCTCGTGCAAAAAAGTATGAATAAATTATAATAATTATCCAAATCGTAATAATTAATCATACAGTTCTTTATACATAGTTTTATCATATAATTTATTCATTTAAATAAAATTATGATTGTTTATAATTTATATTACTATGTGTAGGCGTCAAAAAATGCTGAAAAGATATCCAAATACAGCTCAAGAGAAAATCATTCAATAGAACACAAGTATAGACTGTCTCGCACGCGAGACAGGCTTTGCTGTCTCGCTGTGCGAGACAGACTTTGCTGTCTCCCCCGCGAGACAGACTTTGCTGTCACTGTCTGGAAGTTGAGGATTTCCGAGACAGTGTTTACTGTCTCGGAACCCGAGACAGTATTTGCTGTCTCGGCCGCCGAGACAGCAAACACTGTCTCGGAAGCACAGTTTGTCCTAGGGGCTATAAATACCCCCCTGAGGTTGATTTTTGAAGGGGCTGATCATTTTTGAGCACTTTGGAGCAGAAAGAGCAGAGTTCCTGAGCTTCTGGCCATTCCTTGAGATTCGAGCTTTGACTTGATCTTAAGAAGAACGACTATCTTACTTTGATAAGATCTCGTTTCAAATTCTCACTTCGATAAACGAAGGAAGAATCATTAAACCCCTCACGATTCAATCAGAATCTATGATTTGGTGGTCCACGAGTCAAAGCGCTCCCTGCACAGGCAAAGATCCCACGCAAGCAGCGATCCAAACAACGATCCTGCGTTTGTTTCTCAAGAGTTGTAATTTTTATTTTGTTGTGTAAAAGAAGTCTTATAAAAAGACTATCTCTTTTGAATTTGTTGTAATCGACTGAAGATATAATGAATTCCACAACGAAACCAACTTTTGACGCAAACATATATAACCTGGCATTTTCTATAAATGTTCCCATAAGTAGCCAGGGACATTTTCAAGCTAATGAATGCCAATGGCATGTTTTGCTTAAGAGAAGCTTAAATCAAGCATCACATTTTGATAAAATGCAGCTCATGAACAACATTGGAGCTTTTTATGTAAATAATCAACATGATCAGGCAAAGTGGTCTCTCACTTCTACAGGGGTATTCTCAGTCAAATCCTTATACATATTTCTCAATTCCAGAGGCATTCAATCCCATATTTACAAAGGCATATGGAATCCCCTACTACCGAGCAAGGTCCAGTTTTTTACTTGGTTATTGTTCAATAACAAATTGCACACTAAGGATGTTCTAATTCTAAAAGTTTGGCAAGGTGATACATTATGCAACTTTTGTGGTTTGGAAGATGAATGTCGAGAACATCTTTTCTTTTCATGCCCTTTATCATTGCAAATATGGAAACATTTTCAAAAGTATGAGTTATATTTTCAATGGCCACATACTTTCATGGAGCTTCTACATTCTGTAGAACATTTAAAAGGCATGCATGGACATATCTGGCGTCTGATTTTTTCTGCTACATGCTGGAACATATGGATTTCAAGAAATAAGCTTATTTTTTATCATACTCCTCTCTCATACAAATCCATTATTAATCAAATTATTTCTGGAATTTATGAATGGACAGGTGCAAGAAAAGGTTCGGTGGCTCAACGTCTATCTAAAAAACTAGAACATCATCCAATCAGCAAAGAGAATGTTTAAGAAAGCTTGGAGGATACACAGGAAGTTGATTTTGGAGATCTTTTGAAGTCTTTTTGTAACTCTTTTGTTTTTGAACAGTTATGTTGTTTTTAGTCTTATGTTTTGTTAGTCTATAGAAAATCTAATTCAAGTAAATATATGTATGGCTGGCTTTGGTTCTTTCTTATATCTGTGTCAACAATGAGTGACGGCAAGGCCAACTCCTCATCTTCACAGATATCTGAAAGAAGAAAATTATACGTCCCTATTTAGTTGAATTTTATTTTTTATCTACCAACATTTGGATACAATTCGTATCCTACTTTTTGTAACTATAACATATATATTTTAATGAACGGGGAGCATCCCCTGTTTTTCTGTCAAAAAAAAAAAAAAAAAATTGGTCTGACCTTGGTTATTGTAACATCTAAGGCCATGCTGTTTTTATAGGTTTCGTACGCTCTTGATCTTGATATATTTTCAAAGCGCATTAGGTCAAGCACTTCACTTATCAAAATATTAACGGGAAATATATTTTAAAATTATATATCAAGCTTCCAAAATTAGTCCACCTGAAATGAAATTCGAAATATTCTACAAGAAAGTAAGAACGCTCTTGAAGGGTTTAAGTTTAAGCTCTGGACGCGAGGGTAGCCGGTCCTCAAAAGGAGCAATGCGTGGGCCTCCCTTGGATTGGACCTAAGGTTGGGCCTTGATTAACTTTAACATGTCTAAAGTGTTAAGTTGCAGCGTCAGTCTAAAATAATTATTATTATAGAGAAGATAATAAAGCAAATAACAAACTACCATTTATTTGTACTTCTTGTACTCTATGTTCTAAAACTTGTGATTCAATAAGGATATGGTGGGATCAGAATCTGGCAGATCTAATTGGACCACTTGGTAAATAAGCCATCAAAAATTATAGAACTTGTGATGAGGCAGTTGCACTAGGGTTGCAAAAAAATCCATTTTGGAGGATTTATCTGTACCGTATTTGTTAGGCTACGGATATGGTTACTAATATCTATATTTAATAGGATATGGTTTCAAATACTAATATGCAATGAAATATCTGGACCCATGCAAAATATCTAAGTATATGTCGATCATACAGTTGCAATTGTTTTAATCCTTAGATGAATGCATTTGAAGTTGATTTTAATAATCAAGAGATCTAATCCTGATTTTTCAGATATAACAAACATGATAATAAACTCTATTGTATCTTATGAACTACCAGTTTGCTTCCTCATTTTATATGTGATCGGTGTCCGATTTTAGTGAATGCGTATGAGCTCTCCTTACCAAGATATATGCATATCCGTATGCGTGATTAACAGGTAGATAAGGGTATGGTAAATATCATATCTGAGCATTATCCGAACTGTTTGCACCCCTGTTACATTGGAGCATTTGGATCTTATCATTCTTACCTTTTGATATTTTACGCGTAACTTTTTTTTTTGGTTTTGTTTTGAAAGTAAAAAAGAACGAAAGAAAAGAAGGGTCATACTCAACATTTCTCTTCAAATAAAAATGAGCTCAACCAGCAATACAAGCTCACTTTATTGCTGCGTACCTAGAACATGATGCTCACAAAATTGAGTCAAAATGCATGACTGCCCTCTTCCTCATATTGGCTTCTCTCAATTCCAGGAAGGGAAAATTTGCAAAATAGACCGTTTTTATAAAGTAATTAGCGAAATAGATCACTTTTGAGGGTAATTAGCAAAATAGACCTCATTTTGACAAAAGAGGTCGATTTTGAAAAAATGACTTCAGAAAACATACGGGACTACTAGTCCCGTATGTTTAAAGCTAACTAATCTAATGATTAGTGCACTAATCATTAGATTAGATAGCTTTAAACATACGGGACTAGTAGTCCCGTATGTTTTCTGAAGCCATTTTTTTAAAATCGACCTCTTTTTGGGCCTATTGGCCAAAAAGATGTCTATTTTGCTAATTACTTTTAAAAGTGGTCTATTTCGCTAATTACTTTATAAAAACGGTCTATTTTGCAAATTTTCCCTTCCAGGAATTTTCCTCAAAACATAAATAAATAAATAAAATCTAGCAAGTTAGTTTCCTCATCGTCTTAATGAAAAGATGCTATATTCTAAAGTATTAAGCAAATTAAAAATATGCAAACCAACCTCAATTTCATGTACTCAACAATATATTATATACATCATAGTATTTGTGTATAACCTACTATGGTTTCTCTCTCTTTCAAAAATGACCCTAATGATATTATTTTTTTTAAATTCTCTTCCTCCTATATATAAACTACCATCAATGAATCTGATTCGCTAAACAGCTGGTGGTCCAATATACTAATCAGATCCACTTGATACTTTCTCGCCTCTCTCTATATTTATGTATATAATATGCCTCTCCAAACTCATATTTGCAACACAAATTAAGAGTTCAATGACCAATCAAACTTCTGATAAGCTATAACAACAGGACCTCCATCATCAAGCAGGTGAGTCAATAGTCCAGCTTTCGTTGCATCCAAATAGTTGAGTATCCACTTCAACATCTTCTCCTTCTCCTGCCCAAAATCGACATCATACCATTTCATGATCTTGCTGAGATACACCGTTCTCTTGCTCAGATCAACATCAATTCCTCCATTGCTGAAGAACTCTCTTGCAGAATATCTTAGCTCGGTTTCGACCCCCTGTGCAGTGAAAAACCTCACAGCCGGGCATGATCGCGTTCCATTGCAGAGGCCAAAGTGTATCAGAGGGTTTAACTTTGGTAGAGCCACCTGGGTTTTATTTGAGCATATACTAAGTTTAGTACTAAGAATTTGATAGAGATCATTTTCTAAATCATAACACGTTTAGTATATATAATGGGTAGATTTATCTTGAGTAAAAAAGCACAAATATGATTGAAAAAGTAGATTCTCTACGAAAATGGCTTCAGAGGTTATCCAAATCCAAAGATGAAAACCATGATATGTTTAATTGATTGTAAGCATATTGTAAGTCATGGATTTTAGTCTTAGTCCTATATATCATTAAAAGAAAAAAAAAATTCAGTTGAGAGATTACTACTCAGATGGTCGCGTGCGCATTAACATACATTGTGTAATTCACACTTGTTTTTCACTTTTTACTCGAGATAAATCACAAACATCCACTAAATAGATTAAATGAAGTGATCTCTACATTGTATTTTAACAGCAGAGAGCCCAAATCAGTAAGTTATATATGAGTTCATTGTAAGTAGCGTCAACGGCGTGTAATCAGCTTCCAATTTGATCTAGGGAAGTGACATTCAATTTATCTGGTGGTTCAGTTACATCTATCCAATCAAAAAATGAGAATTGAAAATAGAGAATAGGGTTAATTGCGGATGCACCTCGCATAGTATCACTATTTTGAGCTTATTACCACTCTAGTTTAGTGAATTTTTTTGACAATTTTACCCTCAAAGAAAGACAAAATGTTTTTCATAAATAGTCCCCCTAAGGGTAAAAGAGTTAAAAAAATCAATCATGGGTCCAAGTAGGCCCCTGAGGATAAAAGAGCCAAAAAAATCAGGGGGTTTATCTGCAACGAGAAAACTAGTGCGGTAAGTTAAGACAACGATAATAGAGCGGATTATCTGCAATTAACCCTAAATCAAATATTGGAATTGGACTCACAAGAGAAAAAGTCTAATGAGTACCTCTAATCGCTTGTCATTAGCACTGAATGGCTTGACAAAAGAGTAAGGCTGCCTCCTGTTTGATCTCAGGATACCATTCTTGATGGTAGACAAGGAGTAGGGATACCCTCCCACAATGTACTGGAATTCGTTGAAGAATGCCCTGCGGTCAATGACTCCAGGCTTTCTTTCGACTCTGCTCACTGCATGAATCACCATGGCATTGTACAGATTCAAGAAGAAGGCCATTGTCTCATCCACAGAGAGAGTGAATATGTCCACCCTTTGCAGATCTTGCACTAGATTTACATATCTGATAATAAAACAAGTATTGCACACTGTTTATATTTAAAATAACTATGGTACACCCACCAAATCTCATTATTTACAATAAAATTTGATGATGTGCTTAGCTCATATTGATTTATATGTTTTGTAAGTTCTGCAAATGAACAATAATTCATTCTTGTATAACCTTTAGCTTAAGAATTATCAGATATTTTAGCTAGATTTTTTACGGTCTACTTTTCAACACTTATAAAATAGAAAATATTCATAAAAATGCATGATTTCTTGTTTGCAGAAGTTTTCTAACATGTACAAAATACCTTCTAAACTCTTCGCTCGCAGCAATACGAGGATAATCTAAATGGCGCCTATCATCTGATGCATAAGCCTCAAGTAGGGCTGACATTAGCTTTGCGAGCCTCTGGCCAACGACAGACACAGATTTGGGCTCGTCATCGTTGGTTGCTCCTCTAAAATTGAAGCATTTGGGAATGATTGGGTCATGCTCCAAGAATCGGTAAAATTGGTTATGCCCATCCTCAAAATTATCTTCCCTGTAAAATTTTGCACATATGTAGTAAATAATTAGTCTACGTAATTCAAATGAGATTGAACTGAATAGTAATCTGATCTGTTGAAAGGAGTCACCTGAATACATGGTGTATGTAATGCTTTCTTGCTAGCTCTCTTCCAATCTCAACAGCCTGCGGTAAGTAACGTAATTAGAGCCCCTTAGTTAAGTAATATTTGCTGTGCAGAAAATGATGCTTCTTTGACCTCTTTTTAGGATTTCAGGATGTATACTTTTATTCCTTTAGAAACCACATCTCAAGTTCAAATTTACTTTATTTTTCGCAATTTACATTTTCATCACGCAGAATTCTTTTATCTTATAAATAACAAAGTTAAAAATATTATTTAATTTATTAAATTGTGTTCCCATTTGAATATCCTCTTAAGTGTCAAGCTAATGGGAAAGTGTTATCTATTTGTAGTTTGATTTGATGTGTGATATTGCTTATATTTAAAAATTAAAAGTCAACTTGTTCTCAAAAACAAAATAAAATAAATAAAAGTCAACTAGGTGACTACATTTTGACATAGATTAAGACAAAATAGTTGAGAAAATGATTAACTGAAAATTTTAATAGATGAGAGGCACACATTAATTTACCCTGTTTTCTAGCCATATTACATAAGCAAAATTGGCTAAGATATCTAGTGTCTCTGCCTGCGATGATTACCAGTTGCAGGGCACGCTAATTATAAATTTGTGCATCTTTCCCTTTTTAAAAATAAATTCCATATTTGCATAATATTATTATTTTAATGATGTTCTCAATAGTTCATATTAAAGAATTTTGATGTATAAGTAGGATGCTTTATTGAGTCAAATACTCTCAACCTTAAAGTAGATAATAATAACAGATCATTCTCAATCATAATTGGTAACATTTAACAAACAATTTATAAGTCATATTAACAAACAATTACAGTCTGTTTTGAACTACACATGAAGATAAACACAATATATGGTACACATTAGTCATATTTAAATTTTAATTATAGTTATAGATATTATCGGATAGATATGATCGAAGAAGGGATATCTTGCTTATCGCTAAGATGCTTGAGAAAATACTCTGTGATAGGACAAAATCATGCGGCTTCCTTGTGAAAATAACCATGAAAGCGTCAAAATAAAGAACAGTTGCCTGATATTAACTATGACACAAGTTTTAATTTTTAAATAATTTCTGTAAAGATCCAAATTTTACTTGTCCCTCAGGATCCCGACTCCTGAACTGGGACCCGCAAACCATGACCCACCGAACAAAATCACGCCTGCAGAAACGCTTTCTGGAGATCTCCCACCAAAAAAGCTATAAAATAAGGCTTATTTGCACTTTAATACTCCGGAGTTTCATCATTGATGCTCCAAAGATTTCAAATTTGACAATTTGATACTCCAAAGCTCTAATTTCGTTACCTCACTTTTCCCAAACTGAAAACTAGAATTTGATCAGAAAATTGTTTCTCGTACCCATTTTGATGTTGATATTCACGAACAAAATTAACATCAATGTTTTACGAACTTCGAACATCAAGTGTCATGCTAGCAAAGAGAGAAGCTTTGAGGTATTGAAGTGCAAATAATCCTTAAAACAATCACCACATCCAACAGAAAACACGCCAACAGATGAAAAAATTGCCAAAAAAAAAAAAAACACACCTTTTTCCTCCCGCAGTCCATTTGCAGTATGATGGCCTCAACCATCTCACTCCCAGAAAAGCAATTCCTCACCATCTTCATCCTCAAAATCCGATCCCTAATCGGCAACCTCTGCCTCAAAACCCTAACGATCCCGATCAGCCCATCAACCCTCCTCCTCTTCACCTCCTCCTCATCATCGAACCCGTAGACCGGCGCCCTCGGCGCGCTCTCAGGGCACTTCACCCCCCCAATCTCCTTCAACCTCCTCTCGAACTCCCCGCTATTTCTCAGCGAATTAAAGACCACAACCCCTCCCAACAACTTCTCGTTGATGAAAATCTGCGGAACGATCAGGCTCCCCGACCTCTCCTTCAGTTCATTCTCCCTCTCGGGGAACACGTCGAGGTTGATCTCGACGAAAGGGAGGTTATTTTGCCGGAGGAACGTGCGGATCGAGGTGGAGTCTCGGCAGCTGGATCGGGAGAAGAAGCTGATCTGGCATTTGATCTGGCTCCTCGAATTGTTCCGTTGGTTGACGATTACTCTGATGCCGGAGAGGTTGAACTCGGTGATGGAGCCGGAGTCGTCGCTGGAGGCGGCGGCGGTGAGGGAGGAGATTTGCTTGGTGATGGCGGAGGAGAGGCTGCTGCTGCGGTGGCGGAGGAAGTTTCCGATGGTGGAGATGGAGAGGTCGATTTGGCGGAGTCTTGTGGGCCGACCGAGTGGGCCTTTGGAAGGGCCTGGCGGGGCCTCGGGCTGCGGAAGTGGGCGGCGGGTGTAGGCCTGGGTTTTCTCGGGGAACTCTGAGGAGGAGGAGGAGGAGGAGGAAGAGAAGAATCGCCGACGTTGAAGATGATGAAGAGTCGAGGGTTTCTTGATCGTTGGCTGATTCTTGAGGGGTTCCTCTTGTTTTCTCTTCTCCCATTGGATCGATTTGATGCTGCGGAGAGAATCTAGAGAGAGAAAACAAGATTTTGGAGAATCTAGAGAGAGAGTGTGAAGTGGTGGAGAGAGAAATGAGGGGCGTTGGGGGTTTAAATGGAGGGATTAAGGGACAAATTGGAATTGGATCGGGCCTAATTTTCTAAAAACAGAATGGGTCAAAACTATTTAAGTATCTCTCTTTCTACGTGGGCTCAGTCGCCGGCTTAGCTCGTGCTGACGATAATACCCTTGGTTGAGGGGCAGTGGGTTGGTTTGTTGTGTAATTACGGGAGGGAGCGAAGGGGTGAATGGGGAGAGGAGAACGGGGGCTCTAGGCGCTTGTTGGTATTGTAACGGTACTTTTTGTAGCTTTCTGTAAGGCGGCGCAATCGGAGAGTGCCAAGTGGAGGAAGTTACGTGGGCCTTACTATTTCCCCCCCATTTAAATACATAAATTTTTGTATAAGTTTATGTATATTTGATTTTTCATCATGTAAAGTTAGTGTATGAAATTTATTTAGGGGGGGTTATTCATTGGTGTAAAAAATGGGATAATGGGATAATTTTTGGAATACCACTTTTTGGTGTTATTCATTGGTGTAATTAGAACTGGGGTAAACTTTATAGTGTTATTGGTTTGTTGGGATAATTTGGGGACAAATACCCCACTTCTCCTAAAATTACCCTAACTATATAAACACTTCACATCCCCACCCTCAAAATTTACCCAAAAAAGAGAGCTGGAACAAATGGGGGTAATATTTGCCCTCTTCTTCCACGTCGTCACCAGCCTCTCCTCCTCCCTCCGCCTATCACCGTCCACGGCGCCCCGACCTCTTCTCCTCCTCCGCCGCCCTCCGCCACGGCGAGCCCCGCACCGGCCTCGCTCATCCTCTCTGTCGGCGCCTTCGTCTCCGCCTTCGTCGACCCGCCGAGTCTCCACCTTCGTCGAGCCCCGCCTGAGTCTCCGCCTCCGCCGAGGCCCCTCCTGAGTCTCCTCCCCCGCCTCGGCAACGGCGCTGAGCTCGTAAGGATCAAGCGACACGGTGAGATTCTCAATTCCTCTCAATCTTTAAAATATTTTGTTTAATTCGTAGAGAGCTGGATTTATTTTGATATTTTCCGTTAAAACAGCGGTGGAGGTTTTGGCGACGGGAGGAAGATCGCGGTGGGGGTTTTGGATCGAGCCGGGAAGCAGGGGGAAGAGGAGTTCAAGATTGAGGTTTTCGATCGGTTCTTGATTCTTGGTTATTTGGTGTTTTTGATTGCGATGTTTTGCCCCTTTTGGTGATTTATCATGATTTCAGCTTGCTTATGCTTGATATGGGGCCAAATCAAATAATGTTAATTGTTAATTATCCTATTACCCATTACTCAAATTGTCCCATTACACCATTTTACCCCACTTTATCCCACTCAATTATCCCATTGGGTAAAATTACCACATTGGAACAATTTACCCCAATTTACCCCCCCCCCCCCCCTTAGTGGATTATATTTACTGAACGAGGGGGACAATAAATCACTATATTCTCCGAGAACTATTATTCAATAGGGAGGCGCTACAGGCACACCTCCGGCCACACCTCCGAGCACACCCCAATCTAGCTACAGTACAGGGGGCCCCACTTGAGATTTTTAAAAAATCTCAAGTGGGACGCCCTGTACTGTAGCTAGGGGGGTGTGACCGAAGGTGTGCCGGATGGTGTGCCTGTATCATTTTTCTGTCCAATAAATGTGATCCCAACATCTCCTCTAGAAATAAAGTGATTTAAAAAACCATAAAAAGAGCTGTTAAAAATTTCAATTTGTTTCGTATCGTTCTCGAAAATGGCATAGGATATCTTACTTGTACGTAAGAGTCCTTATAAAATCTGTACTGGATATATGAAAATGGATGATTACTTTAAATTAAATAAATTCAAATTAAGACCAGCAAAATACCATGGTATAGTAGTGACGACTTTTGAGGTTCGTCAGTGAACCTCTCTTATTTGCCACGTGGCGGACCAATCCCCGCGTATATAGCCGAGATTGAAGAAGGTTTCCAAGTCGTGAGGGCCGGTACTCGATTGGATCGCAGTCCGCGGGGTTGGCCCATGATGCTAATCTTCATCCCCACTTTTTTTTTTTTCACTTTGTTTTGAGGAGGTCTTAAACGTCTTTGACGGTTGGCGTGTTTTTGCAAATTTACAAAGATGTATTTTTCTTTGAGTTACAAATTTCAAAGGCTCGTTCGATGTTGAAACCGTCAGTGGTAAGAGTCATCCGACTCTTGGTGCGTGAAGGCTTGAGGCTTGTTACAGTTATAGACAAGTCCTAATTTTGGACGCGACTAATAAATGCAATTGTAGATGTAGCTGCAATTTTACCTATATTTGTCGCCATCAAATTAAACAAATTTAGCTACATAATCTTACTTGTAATCTATCTAAGTTGGGGGAGAAAAGAGAAAGAAAGTTTGAAACTATGACACATCAAACAATTAAGCACCTAAAATTATAACTTCAAATTTAAAGAGTGAATTTTTTTTAAAAAATTGAACCAAACAATCGCAAGTTGCATTGTAATTACAGTTGTAGCCGAAGCAATAAAGTTTTTCATTATAATACCCCAGGACAAAAGATGGAGACTCGATAGATATCGGTAGGTTTGTGGGCATATAACATCATTTGCATAGGATACTATAGTTTCTTTCTAGTCAACATTCATCAATATTTGATATATGAAAAAGAAACGAGGATTAAAAAAACTTAAGAGAAAATAAAATAGGTTTGTTGTTCTGAACAAGTAGCTAACTTTAATACGAGAGAGATGCTTAAATCCAACCACATGATTATGAAAAGTTGGAAGAAATATTATCATACAAAAAACCGACTTTCAGCTCTCCAGTCCTATCGGCTATCGGACGCATCGTTCAGTCCTATCAACTTTAATACGAGAGAGTCGCTAAAGAAGTTTTTAGCGTCGGAACTTTTAGCGTTGCTAAAACATCTTTAGTGACGGAAATTTTCGTCGCTAAAGATGTTTTTAGCGACGGAAATTTTCTGTCGCTAAAAACTCGTTGGTAAATTTAAAGCAATGGAAAATTTTCGTCGCTAATACATCCATTTCTGTCGGTAAAAATGTTTTGCCTACGGAAATATAGCGACGGAAATTTCCGTCACTATATGTCATGTTATAGCGACGGAAAATCCAGTCGCTATATTTCCGTAAGCAAAACCCCATTTTCTAGCGGTGAAAGGATTTTCAAATGAAGAAGAAAAAAGGAGGGGGAGAAAACTATTGTTATGTGGCCTTTGCCATCAATTTGAAGGAAACAAAGGGTGAAAACAAAAAATATGTAAGGGGGGAACAACAAAATAATGTAGGGATAGCACCACATATAAAGAGTCAAGACTACTATTAATAGATATTAAGAACCATATAACCCCAATGTCATTATTTAACCAGTGAATGACGCAGGATTATACTAAGTAATAAACATTTCCTATTAATTTCCAGAATGACCTAATAAAATAGCTACTTTCCACTTTAAATTTCTAATAATTATCCGGATATGACACTAATAAGTTGACAAAGTATTCAATAAGGGCTTGTTTGGATTGAGGAGAATGAGGGTGAAGGGAAGTTAGGGAAACCATTCACCTCCATTCACCTTGTTTGAGAACACTTAGGAGGTGAAGTTAATTCACCTCCATTCACCTTGGTTCACCCCCTAATAGTTTAAAAATTGTTACCCTCCAAATTGGGGTGTAACCAAGGGGAAGGGAATTCCCTTCCCTTCCCTTCACTCAGTTTCCCTTAACTTCCCTTCACCCCCTACGAATCCAAACAGGCCCTAAGTGATCTATTTGTGAAAAGAAAGCAAGTAATCCCGATTTTATTATTCTGTTTTCACGCACCAATTTAGCTTGATTTGGTCCTCGTAGCACAAGATTTGAACATAAACAAATTGCATGGAGCAAATTAACCACTTGATCAACATGTGATCTTTCATAATGACTAGTTAATTGCAACATACATCACATATGAGAGCAGTGGCGTAGCCAGTAATTTTTTTTGCCCTGAGCGAAAAATAAAGTATGTTAATAATTGTAGAGGTTTTACATATATTTACATAAAACATTACATGATCAATTCTTTTTTTTTTTTAAAACACTAGTGAGAGCTTTCAAAATTGTACCCGTGGAGAAAATGAATATACTAATTGACATTCTGATTCTATGTCAAGAGATCACATCTGACGACAAGTTCCAAATTGTTGGCTTGTGAACTATTAATGTAATATTAAGATAACAAAATCATTACTTGTGCACATTTTTCTTCGAATAATATATCAAACTGAACAAGCCAATGCTAATTGGTGTTTGTGATCTTTGTACAGGTGGTGGCCTTCGGCCACTTTCTTGCCCTGGGCAGCTATCTAGGGTAAGCCTACTCCGGCTACGCCCATGTATGAGAGTCCAAGTGGAAGAGCACGAGAGTTGATTTAGTTTGGTTCAAACCTAATCAAATAGACTTGGTAATGCGGTGAAAGGAGCCTCTCCTTTTTTAAAATTTTTAATTTTTAATTTTATTTATTTATTGTTACACAAGCATGATATATTGAACAATTCAGTCTAAATTTTTTTGTAATCGTCTTAACCTAATAACAAGGTGCCGTGAAGACAAAGGGGGAAAAAACATAGAGCAGGTGACAAAGGATAATTATAAACATAGGAGTTTACACCCTGACACTAATGGAAAAGTTTATATGAATCATGAAAGTCGTAAAAGATTTATGTATTTCTCGTTATGCAACTCCTAAAGATTACTTTACTTAACATCTAACATTCTTGCAAAAGTGCAAATTCCGCTAGCCCTCGTGAAGTTCCAACTTTTTGCAGTAAACTCCTATCAACATTCAAAATAGCAATAAACCCCCATTATCTTTAGTGTAAATTACATTAAACCCCAACAACTTTCAAAATGCCTTGTTATGTTGTTTTATGGTTCTAATCATATGAGGGTTATCTGCGAAATAGAAAAGTTATAGTATGATTTTGAAAGTTCACAGGGGTTTACTGCAAAATGCTGAAACTTCATGGGGGGTTTAGTGTAAAACACCCTTAATTTATTATTCTCTATTGTGGCCTGAGATCACACAGGGCAAGTTGGACAAAGGTCCCTAGAGCTTTCGTAAATTGCTTGATTCTCAAATGCTGTTGTTATCTGCGCTATAGCATGATTTTAATACTAGAAAGCTGCCCTGAGAGTTTGATCTAATTTGCTAAGATCTAACTTATGAAGTTAAGCTAACACAATATTAGTTCCCCTGCAGTCTCATCAATATGGCGGTATTCTCAGCACAAACTATGCCTAGCATTTGGATGTTTAAGGTATCTTATCAGCTAAAATAAAAATTCTTAGGACTTCTGATTTGTTAATGGAAAAAAAAATGTAAAATTGAGCGCCACCGGTGCATTCTCTGCAAATCTCAATCTGAATCATCACAATAAGATGTTCTTCAGTTTATACACATGGTTAACAAAAGCATAAATGAAGGGCTGATGCAGGCAAAAGATTATCAGAGAGTCCATATAACCATAACATAACATTGTGCAATTCCATCACAACTCAAATAAAATCAGATACACACGGGTTGACGAAATAGGATATAAGGTTTCCAATGAGATTCCCTTCAAGTTTGCCAAAAGCCTGGAAGTCAGAAAAACCAGTTACAATGGGGAAGTTTTGTACCAAAATCTCAAGCTGCGGGCTTATCTTCAGCAGCCGTGGCTTTTCCTCAGCGGCGGCTTCAAAAGTTTCTCCAGGAACAAGATCAGGTACGTCCTCATCATCCTCCTGAGCCGCAGCGTTTGCATCAGCACCAGGTTCCTGCTTCTGAAACTGTGCTGCAAGCTTCCTCAAGTTGTCTAAGTTATCAGGACCTTGAAAATGAAAAGTGTCCATCAGCAGTTAACTCTGGAAAAGAAAATATTTTGTTTTCTTCACGAAATTGAAGATTAACCCTCAACTCGGTTATTAGCAATTATCTAGAATGAGATTGGCGATTTGAAGGAGAAATTGCAGATAATGCCTCTCTCCGCCACAAATAGAGTGATGTAAATGCTACTAAACAAGTTGAAGGGTACCAAATGCCAATGAATGTAAGATATGGGGAGTCATCTGCAATTTATCTTTTTTTTTTCTTTTGCAGTCAAAAGAAATCATACATGTCTTAGAAGACGTGAAAATTAGATAAAACCAAGTCTGGAGTAAGCTGTAATTAGAAGGATAAAGTCCCCCGAAGGATGGTAGGATTCACAAAGATACCCCCTAGGATCTCAAACAATTGGGCCCGTTTGTTTTAATTTCTATGAAGTTAACTTGGATACCAAAACAGTGATAACAACGTATGACAATCATCAATATTCTTAATAAACATGTATATAATTATTAAATTGAAATTTGATGATTACATAAAAAATATTGATGATTGTTTTAATAGAATTGAAAATGAGGAGGGAAATTGTCAGTTTTTCAAACATCAAGAGCATTCTTTTTAATCATTCCTATAAATTATAGGTGAATTTTATATAACAATTTACGCTAATTAGAAACATGGTGCAGAAACTAATACGGCCGACAAGCAATAAAAAACTACATATTGATTGCGAACTTTAGACTATCAGCTAAAATAAAGATTCATTAGTAACAACGCTTAAGAGAAGAAGATACCTAGCTGGTTGAAGATTGACGGTAGAATATCCTGCAATCCTGCCGTTGGCGATTCAAGTGAGGTCAGTGAAAGCAAAGGCAAATAAAATAGACAGCTCAAGATCAAATAGAAACTTAATTCAAAAAAAATTCCCATTGATCAACCACTTGAAATTCCCATTGATCAACCACTTGAAAATTCAATCAACAATGATTAAATGAGACAAGAAGGAAAACAAGTCTAAACAACGGGTTAGATGCTGCTTGCATCAGCAATCATGTAAATTACTAAATGATCATTAAGAGCAGTAACTATCGGTAAAGCACTATAATATCAGTATAATATTTGTTTAAAAATCAGGTTATTCAAATTTTCCTTTTTGATTAAATATGGGAATAGGAGATGAGAGTACTTCTTGTCTGCGAAGAACCACTGACCACCCACGTATTGGCTGCAATTGAAGCTTGCACTGATGAAAAACAAAATGTTAAGTCAGCACACATGGAAACATCACCATAATTCTTCATATTACACAAGTTCTTACTCTACCTTTGGGATTCACAAATTGGATAACTGAATCATCCTTAAAAATGTTAACCTCTTCAATAGCAGGGATTGTGTTTACCCCAATCCTTTTCAAAGTGCTTTGAAGCCTTTTATCATCTGTGCTAGTGGTCTTGTGAACAGCCTTCTTCTTCCTGATTGAAAGGCATGGGAAAAAAACACAAAGAAAGAAAATAAAATCAAACAAATTGAAGGATCTCAAACTAAGTATATTCCCCAAAATATACAAAATAAAATTAAATAGATTGATTTTGGGAACAAGATAGTTGCATCCCAAGATTCAGTATTAGTCCTGTTTGCGCTAAGGTACTTTCTCGTTAATGGAGCAAATAGTAGGATCCAGATTTTAGGAATCATAATAAAGATAACCAACTCGTCGAGATAACCTTTTCCTTCTCTTTTTCTTTCACTTGGTACAAACACTTAACATAGTGATCTACACTTCCTGCCAATTATTAACAAAAAACAAGAAATTTATCCAGAATCCACCTTAGCATTTGAGATATCAAGAGATTTTTCAGAAGACTGTTCCACAGACATTAAACATCCTAAATTTTCTGTCATATCACAAGTTAAAGTAAGAAAACTCCCAAGACTACATTGTGGAAGGGAAGTGGAAATTAACAAAGTACCTGCGCATGCTACCCTTTCCACCAGTGCGAACTGCTCCAGCCATCTTGATGAGCTTCTCTCTATCCATCTACATAGTAAAAGAAATATTAAAGGTGAAGTAAAGTTCAATATATTTGAGTACATAATTTCAAAAGTCAAAAAAATAGTCGTTCTAAGGATGCAGAGTTAATTCATTAAATAAGAAGTACACTTAGGGGAACTAATTAAACTACATAGCCTACTCAGGTGACCAAGGTAGCTCCTATGGGGCCTATAAGTGCTAGTTGCAGCCTTTGCACTCAAATATTTGGAGATTGCATTTTTTTTAATTACTTTTTATTAAAAAAGATATCTATTGGGGTGCAGATTGGAACAGAATAAGAGTGATAGGATAAAACAAGTCGATTAGAATAGTGTTATTGTCCGTAAGAACAGTAACTACCAGAACTGTTGTCTTTTTAGAATAGCTTTACTGTATAATTGGTTCAGATTAGGGTTTGATTCTATTTGATATATTTTATCTATCCTTTTGTTAAAGCTATTTAAAAACTGAGATTCAATGAAATAATAAAATAGTGAAAAGAACGAGTTAGGGTTTGTAATCCTGAGGACTTGATATTTTGTTCCCTGTCTCTTCTTTCCCTTTCCATCTTTTTCACTGTCTTGAGTAACTTCCAAGTCAAAATTTCCAATTTTGCACAAACCAAAGACCATTTAAAATATATTATTTTCAAGTGAACTGGAAGCTCAAATTACATTATTTACCTTCTTCACTCTATCCTATCCATTTCACTTTTTAGCTTCCCTACCCGATAACATATACAATCATGCAGAAAGCAGTTTCTTCCTTCGACATGCTACTAAAACATCAACTCCAAAGGATGTATAAGGAGCGACTTAGTAACATGTCATTCGTCGCAGTAGTATCCTCTATCACCCAATGACAAACATGTAAGACCAGATCCAAATGCATTTCAAATAACAGATGACTTCGAGTTTTGATGATCGGATATTCAGAATAAGCTGCTGCTGCTACAGCTAAAAAAAATTACTACCCACCGAACGACGCATCAAAAAGAGGAAACTGGATGATATAATTTTTTCCAAACTCTTCAAGCTTGAAGCTACTGAAGAAAGATAGGATTTTGTTTATTGAACCACGCATTTATCCAGTATCTGATTACGACAACTCTACGAGTATGGAATTGAGCATACAGCAAGCCTTTTACAGACAAATTAATTTAGTGCGGCTCCAAACATTGTTAAATAAAAAAGAACAATAATAAACTTATCGATTAATTTGCCACCAATAATAAACTAATCAGTTGAATTCCCTAATTACTATCTAGCGTCCGTGAGATCGGAGTTAATCATCAAATTCGATTTGGATTAAAATAAAATAAAAACCCCAACAACAGATTAGACTTGCAATAAGGTTAGTTACCTATGAGAAATTAATAACAAATGATAGGGATTTATTTAAGAATGAAGAGAGATAAAGGGAGAGGAGAGGAGCTAACCTGCGCCGAATTTGGAGAGTTGAGGGAAGAAAGAAAGGGGTTAGGGTTTGGGCTTTTGCTTGGCAAGGAGTGACCGAGAGGTGGAGCCACTGGGTTTTTGCACGCGGTTTTTCCTAGTTTGGGTTCGGGTATACTGAACCCGACCCAAAACCCATTACCCATATTATAATATTTTCTCAGAGTCGGCCTACGGCCCACGCGGTTTTTGCTGATTTCATCGTTGATTTTCGCTAGGGGACGTCAAAGTAAATTCCTCTTTCTTTTTTTTAACGATGGAGGGATATCTAGGGCTGTTCAAATGAGCTTCGGGTCTAAACCCGACTTGTTGTCAGGCCTGGACCCAACGCGGGGGGAACCTGGCCTAGCCCCGGGTAAGGCCCAGAAAATCCGGGCCAACCAGGCTCCTAGCCCGAGTTCAGGCTGAGTTGGTGAAGCCTCACCCGGGCCTTGCCCGACCTAGCTTGTAACTTTATATATATATTATATATATATTTTTATATTGTTTTAATATATAATTATAGTATGACATAGTCATTAATGTATAATTATATATACTTATGTTCGCGGGGAAAATCGTTTTCATTGACGTCATTGTTTTCTTTGGCAACAGTTTATCGGTTACAAAAGATCCGGTCTTTTTATAAGATCCGGTTACAACAAAATAAAAAAAAAGAAAAAATTATAACTTTCCTTTTCTCGAACAAATCACAAGATCCTGTTTTGCGGTCTCTTGCTTGTGTGGGTTCTTTGCCTGCGCCGGGGTTAATCCGTGGACCACCGCGCGATCTTGATCCGGTCGGATCTACACGGTATGACGAGTGTTATTTCACGAAGGAAATAACAGCCGGGGGTATTATCTCACCAAGGAAATAATAGCCCTAAGTAATCGAAATCGACCAAGCGAAATCGATACTCTTCTCGGGATCAAAAACCAAGTTTTGATCCGGAGGATAACCGTGTGGATCTCAGATCTGATCTCTCTCGAACTCCTGCCTTGTTTGACGTGAATGATCGCCAAGAACCAGATCTGAAAAGTTCGAGTCTTCAAAGCTCCAAAACTCTGAAGTTCAATTCTCAATCCGGCAGAGTTTCACCTCAAAAGTTCCAAGTCCCTCAAACAATGAGCCTAGGGGTCTATTTATAGGCTCCTCAAACCAAATCTGGGCTCAGATCTGGTGCCAGATCTGGTGGCTCGGCCCAGGTGGCTCGGCCACCTAGGTGGCTCGGCCATCGAGCCACCCAAAAGGTGGCTCGGCCAGCTGGACTCTGATTTGACAGTCCGGATCCTGATTTGGCAGTAAATCCGCTTTGGTGTTGTGGTCTAACGATCCTGCTTGGATATATCGCCCGATGGTCCGTTAGTTTGTCGAATCACCGTGCCGAGCTGTGTTAAGGGACCTATAAGCAGTTTTATACGCCTACAGATACCCCCTCCAAAGTATTTCAGCCTCGTTCTTTTATAGGAGAGTCTGGAATACTTTGGATATGATTGTCCCAACCTTCAATCGGTGTAACGGGACCTTGGAATGGCTTCTATTCTTGATTCTTTCAATCCTCCAGGCTATTCGGTGCTTTGTCGAATGTCTGCAAGGGTTCCGGTGCTACATTTATTGTCTGACCGCTGTCGGAATTTTGAACTTGAAGTCAATTCCTGATTTTCTGATTTTTGGCTCGTGTTTGCTGTTTCAACATAGAACCGACCATTGATTGTTGGCGTTGAGTCTTCATTTGCAACGCGTTGTCCGGCGTTTGACACAGTTTATACTCGTACGTCTACTGGAGTTTTGAGAAGTAGTTTATACTCTTATACTTTTCGGAGTGTTGTTGAGTTATCCTTAAGAATATTTTTAGAAAAATACTCTCCAGAAACTTCTCAACAAAAATAGGGAATAGTTTATACTCGTATACCTTATTAGAGTATTAAGAATGAGCTGAACCGGCCTGATAATGATTCAAAAAAGGCAGTAATTAGGCTCAAAAAATCCTCCGACCCTTCCGAATATATGGGAGAGGAATGAATAGATAAGGGACTGAATCATCGGTCGATTTGAAGTCGTTTCGATACTCTGTTCAGCTCCAATTTGAATTCTGGTTCAAATCTGGTTCAAACTGGTTCAACCTGGTCTGGTTCATCCTGGTCTGGTCCGGTTCAACCTGGTCTGGTCCGGTTCAAGACTGGTTCACCACTATAAAAGAGCCCCCTTTTCTTCTCTTTAGGGCCGGCCCCCCTTCTCCCCTTTTTTGAAGTTTTCTTTTCCCTCGTGCATCTTTTCTCCTTCAAACCCTTAAATTTGTCTTAGATCTACCTTTCCTTTTGATCTTAGACTGAAAAATCTTTCAAAATCTCCATATATAAAATTTCTCTCAGGCCCCTCGAGCACGTGGTTCGAGCCTCCTTCAAGATCTGATTTTTGTTGGATCCTCGAGCTTTTCCTCAGGTAAATCCTCCATAATTTTGGCATATTTCATGTTTAATTCAGTATATGAATTTGTGGGATTGCATATGAGGGTTAGGGTTTGTGATTTGACGCCTCGAGCTCATATTTCAGGGGGTAGAATTTGGAGATCTGAGGGGTTTAACTATAAAAAAGAGGGGATAAAATTTTAGGGTTAGAGTTTGTCACCCTAACTAAAATTTTTTGTATATGATCCCCAGATTTATTTTGCAGATCACCATGTCGCGTATCCTGAGAGGTCAGTCCCCTGCTGCGTCGGCTGATGGCGTGCTTCCCTCGTACACTGGTGAGCTCTTTTCTGGAATATTTCGAAATTTGTAGATTAATCATTTTTCCCCGTTTTGTTCTCCTTGGTGAAACAATTGGGAAGAGCCTTGATTCTCCTTGGTGAGGATTGACGCTTTAAAAGATAGGTTTTGCTTGGTCAAAATCATATCTCAAAATAAATAAAGGGGGCGCTTTGAAGCTGTATTGTGCGTTATAAGGCAGGGATATATTGTTGATATACCCTATCTTATGAATGCACAATGTGGTCAAATCGTCTCACCCTTTATAAAGTAGTGACTCTATCTTATCCATTCGTAAGATGAGTTCAACTTCCTTTTATAACTGAGACTAACAAATGCTTAATTGCTTGTTTCCAGTGGGATATCCTTCTGGAGCGTTCTCATCTCATGCAGTGTACGGGCATCGTGACGAGTATTATTCGACCTCCGTTTGCTCTGGGCACGTCGACAGAGGTTGCCCAAGTGGTGAAGGAAGGTGGACATCGAGTTCTTCGACAGCTGATCACTGATGCGCCTTTCGTGAAGGATACCAGCTCTGTTCAGCCTCTCAGGAAGACTGACTTTTTGTTTGGCGACTCTGTTAGAGATCCCGATGCCGTGTTTATTGACGCCGAGCAGTGGCTTCATAAAGATGACGGTGGTTTTCTATATTTGCCCAAGATTCCTCGAGACCGCTCATTGACTGAGCTCAGGCGTCAGGCCGTGACACGGGAGATGTCGTGGCGCTTGACGGAGGAGCATGAGAGCGTTTACTGTGGCTATATTACTCATCAGGCAGCTCCTGGTTCGAGCAGGAGCCATATCATTGGATTGCGTCCTGGAGTATTGGGGCTGGATACACCGCCGCGTAACGAATTTCTTGCTTCTGCTTCTACTTTGAAGAATCGTCTCGCCGACTTAGGACGGGAGATGCCTGCGACGCGCCATAGATTCTATGGCTGGGTCCATTCCTTAGACAAACTTTGGTGGGCTCGTATGACGAAGTACGTCTTAAGCCGATGGAGCGAGGAGTTGCACGCTTGTGGTCTATATGCAGCTATTCGTTCCACAATGTATGGTTTACCCGTCAGTGCTAAACATTTCTTCGCTTTGTGCAAGCTCTATAACCCGGATTCGAACACTTTTCTGACCAGGCATGGAGAGTTGGGCTTGGCTCTGCATGAGATGCACAAGATTTCTGGTTTGCCCATAGGTCAGATGCTATATCAGGAGTACTTTCCCTCCAACCATGAATTGAATCGGCTGAAGGACCGCATGCCCGACCGTTATGAGACTTTATGTGATCTTACATGTCACTACCATATTGCTCTGGCGCAGTCTGAGCCTTTAGCGAAGAGGACTAAGTCACATGTGAGCCTGAAGCAGTTCGCGTGTTATTTGTTCAGAAATCTAGAGAGCAATTCTGGCGAGGCTATTTGTGAGTTGGCAACGCTCACTCCTTCAGAGGTTAATGGTCTGCTGAAGAAGATTGACGCTCACTCCTATACCATTAGCAGTCCCGAGAGTGGCTTTCCTGCAGGGACCAAATTTAAATCATTCTTATGGCATGCGACCGCATCGATTCAGCCGATGACCTTTCTCGCCGGTTACCTCGCTATCTGGTTAAAGAAATGCGTGGTCCCGTATCAATCCAGTGATATTTTGCCATTGGAAGTGCTAGGTCCACAAGTGTTGGGTATTTTCCACTTGCTTCCCGCAGTTCTCGAGCCAATATGGCGAGTGTTTGACTGATGAGGAGAGGCCGAGGGGGACTCAAACTCATTTAGATGTCGGCTGCTTTAACTGGCTAGTGAACATTAGGCCGGGCTATCTGACCTTCCGGGTGAGGAATCAGTGCTTCATAGAGCCATATCTACCCTGCCGATTCACCCACCAGTTTGGTTATGATCAGTTTTATGTCGGGAATCCGCGTCAGCAGCTTTGGACTCATGGCGGTTTGGTGGACGGTCTCCGGGCATGGCTGTGGACCGTGACGGGCTGTACTGGTGCTAAGTTCAGTCTCCCGAGTGCTGAGCGTCAGTTAAAGCTCACCTTCTTAAGCTGCAGGTGGTTGTTAGCAGCTAACAAAACCGTCCCCGTGAAGCCGATTGCAGAGTTAGTGGCCGAGGAAGCTTCTCAGGCTGATTCTCGTGTGATTTGGGAAAATGCTCGGTCACAGAGGACATGGAGCAAGACTCGTCGGATTGACGAAGAAGGAAAGAAGATCTTCAATTCTGCTGATGAGGCTTCAGGCGGAGATCTTGAAGATTACGAGGACTGTTCCGAGCGAGGTTAACTACTTATCCTTTCCTCTGTCTTCCAGAATTATTAATCTTGACAATTGTTTGATGTTTCAGGGACAGTGGCTGACAGGGAAGAAGA